GCCAAAATATTTGTAGTATTTTCATAATATTAAAGTTTTATCGAAAATGCTTTTAAAAAATCAATCAACCATCTTATCCATCTTGATATCTTAAAGTTTCAATTATTATTGGTAATTATTTTTTCACAATTCAATTTCATTCTACACTCAAACGTCAATAATAAAAAAGGTAAAATGATATATTGAGGAAAAGATTTGAAAAGTTAGTTGGTTAACTGTCATCATATGTTAACAAAATCATGTGCTTTGAATTAGGGTTCAATTTTTACAAACCGATTTCAACAAAATTTTGAAACGAATTAATTAAATATAATTTTTAAACCGATGAATCGATTAATGATCGGCATAATTCTGGCCAGAATTATAATTATCCAGGATTCTGCCGATCTGTATGACTGATACATCGAAAATAAATTGGACGATATAGTGTTCTTTTTTTTAATATGCATATATATTACACAAATAATTTAGTTTTATTTTAAAAGATCATGTCATGCGGAGATATTAATGATCATGCTAAAAAATAGAAAATTTATGTATTAGACGAAATTAATCTTTAATCAGTGATTCAACTAATGCAATTTTTAATTACTGGATAGCTTTCATTATCCTCTTTCAAATGATTGTAGAATCATAATAATTTTCCATAAGAATTATATTTGATTTTAATTTTAAATAAATGGAACATATTAAAGTCCCTCATTTTACTTTAAATTTTAATAAAATTTTAGAAACAGATATATCAAATTTTTGTTTGTTAATTTGGAAAGTTTGAGTAATATTTATTATGTGATATTTTAAATTTTTAATCCGCCAATTGCAATGTATAAAATTGCTAAATTAAAAAGTTATTACATATAAAAGTTGATTAATAACAAATAGATTTAATAAAAATAGGTATGCTAAAAATACCAACTAGATAGCAAAATTTGAGGAATATTTTAATATGTAGAATTTTTCAAAAAACAAAATCTCACAACGGTACTTACAGTATATCGTGTGATAAAATTGAGATAAAATTGGAAAGCCCGCTATGTTTCCAGTATTAAGTTATCCTAAAATAAAATGGTCCAAGTGAAAATAAAAATTTAATTAAATGGGAATTTAGAAAAGCTAAATAAAATTTTTAAGTTTAAAACAGATGGTTTTTCTACGTATAATACCATATATAAATACCTTTGAAGACATCGTGATAATGAATAATTTGACAAATTCTAATTGGATCATTTCGTAAGAAATTTGAAGGGTGGGTCCCCGTACTAGGAGATGAGCACATTTCGTAAAGTTTGATTATGTATTTGGTACCGATATGGTTTATTTGTATAATTTGACCGCCTTTCTAAAGTAAAAATCATTTCGTGAGAATTTTTGTTTATTATTAATGAAGAAGTTTTCGGTATTTATAATTATCTTTGTTTAACGAAAGCGATCGTAATATAAAGAATTATTTGCATATTTAAATTTTAAATAAATTGTATGTGTTTAATTAAGAAACTTTTTTTAAAATAATAATAATAAATAATAATAATTTTCACTATTAATCCAAACTATAATAAATATTTATATAATTACAAAATGTGAAATTCCTTAAAATTTGTCCGTGTCAAAGCTATGTGACATTAACGCGAAATAAAAATTATTTTTTCATATAAAAAATATACTTTCGCGTAAATCATGACTTCATTAAGTATTACAATTTAACTTTTATGTATTTATTGCTATTGAAAAGCTTGTACAACAAAATAATATATAAAAAACTTACTTTCCTTTATTTTTTAATTACTTTACAAATTTTATGACACAAATTTTACAACGACAAAACCCATCAAAAAAGTGGCCAATGCAATACCCGATATGAAATTTTTTTCTCTGCAATTATCACAGTATAGGTTCCTTTGGCAAGTAAGTTACGAAGCCTATTGGCCATAGACTATTCAGTACTTCAGGCAATAAAAACACTGGTGAAGTATACTGCAAAAAGAAGTCGCTCCAAAAACTTGCTTCTTCTTCGCTTTCTTGTGTGGCGCAGCAACAGGAACTGTAAGATATATTGCTAATGCGTGCAACTGGTTTATAAAAATTATTTACAAAGTAATACCATTGTACAACTTGTATAAATTTTTATTCTTTAAAAGAGCTAATTTCCTGATTATTAAAATAATACACTAAAGATTATCCAAGTGACGGATGAACGGATCGTAGCACCGCTTCGACGCTGTAAGACTGGGGGTCGATGGTCTTACGTGAATATTCCTTTATTAAATATAATAAAATATTAATTTTCTCGATTATCTTCCCACTATTGGGGAAATACATAATAGTATCAACCTAAATATAAATTATCATGAATTCATCAAATAAAAATTTGCTATAATTCCCCTTCCGTTTTTCAAAAATAAGATTATTTCCTTAATAAAACCCATTTTCAAACATTATTTCATGAATAAAATATTATAAAATTCATCGAATGCCCAAAATTCCCATCCCAAAATATGAAATAAAATGAAATTCACGAATAAAATCAATAAAATAACCTGTTGTCCCCGGTGAAACCACAAGAGTAACTTAGGTTAAATTACCAATAGAATTCATAAGTTATTAAGAAATGTACTTTTACATCATAAGAAAATAGTATAAAAGAATCGAATATTAAGGAATGTGTAAAATATAATAATTTAAGGTCCAAAATTTAAGGTCGAAGATTATGTCCAACTTCATGTTATAATATATCGATTATATCGTCATCTTTCCACGTGATTATTTCATCAATTTGTGATCAACATACGTAATTCCTTCCAAAATTATGATAATAAGATAAATTATTTCCTAAATTATAATCATTAAAAAGTTGACAATCGTAATGAACTTCCATAAAAGTATCCCGCAGTTGATAAATATTAATCATCATTTCCAGTTAACCAATAAAATCCATACAACACTTAACATTGTATATGAATCAGTTTAACCTCATGACCCAGGAGGTTTTTATACGTATTTCACTTCAAAATTCGTAGGTTATGTACCGACAATAAATAAATTGCTGCGGTTTGTAATTAATAAATGCCTTAGATCCCGGCATTACTGTAATGCCGTGAGCACCTAGTGAATTTATTAGTATAGTATTATAATTGTGTAATGTTACAAGTGTAACATCCGTAACGATTCTTGTGTTCACTTTTATTTTTAGATTTAGAATTGGGAACTAGAATCGAGATATTACTATAATAAGAAAAGGATTTGAAGATCGAAAATTGAAAATTTTGGAAAATTAATATTTACGAAAAGTGAAAAACGACATTTTTGAAAAGGATATTTTGTGAGTAAAAAAGTCAAAAAGTGGAAAAATCAAAATTGAAAAAAAGTTTAAAAATGAAAAAAATTGAAATAATTTTATGAAAGAATATTTTAGTGAAAAATAATGATCGACAGAAATTATAAAATTTGGACGGTTTGAAAGGGGTCTATTATTAGAATTTATTAGAAATTATGATTATACTTTAGAAATTATCTTATTGGAATATTATTAAACTGAGAATTATTATATTAACTTCTTGTAATTTTATATTTATATTAATAAAGTATCTTTATGAACAAAAATCTATATCTAAAAATTCAAATGGATTTTATTAAAAAATTTTCATAGGCTCTATAAAAAAATTTTCTCGTTAAAAAAAGATTTTTTTAAAAGTGAATTTTATTAAATAAAAAGATTTTAGATGAGTATTAAAAAATCTTATAATAAATCCTTCTAATTTGACTTACTGGAAAATTATATATTAAGTCTATTTATTACAAAATAGAATTTTTTTTTTATTACTAAATTTATTGTAATATTATTTAATTTAATAATAGAAATGAAAATAATACAACATAAAAAACCAAGTACAATTTTTAGAATATAATTTAATATATTTCGTATTTTTTTTTTTTGTTATTTTATTTTTGTAAATTTTTTTTAAACTTCATCTATATAAAAAAAAATATGTCTGACGTTTAGACTTTAGAATAGTCTTCATATAAATAATTTGGATTGTGTACATGAAAACCCATGACATACCTATTACACTAGATTTTTTAAGTAAGATACTACAAAAAAATAGTCTATTGAATAATAATCATTGATTTTTGTTTATCAAATTATTTGATACTATCTATTCATTAAGTATGACAATCAAATTTGTTAAACGCAAATTATACGCTGAAAAAAAAAAAAAAAAAAAAAAAAAAAGAAAAAAACCTTATTTATCACATTTTTTCGCATTTGTCTTGTACAATAGATTGGGANTGCAAATCTAAATATGTAAATGGTAGTAATATTTTTCTTTTTTGGTTATGAGGCGTAAAATATTACGCCCTAAGGTCACAAAATTTATGTGGGACAACATGAAATTTTGATCAACAATTTTACTAATTTATCAAGTGAATGAACTTAAATTCATTCATTCTTTCTTTCTTATTGATTACATTATGTCCACTCTTCGATATGAATTAATTGGTGCAACAATTCATAGAGCAACATCATTAACAGATACTAATATTTACAATGATATACACAAACGATTTGAATTTAAAAAACAAACAGTCCTTGCTGATAAAATTCTTACAAATGATGAAAAAACTTATGCAATAAGATGGATAACTAAAGGTTATGATCGAAGTAAAGTTAGAAATAATTCAGGAACAAAAAGAATTTGTGAAAATTGTAAGCAAGAATGTTTAGCCACATTATATTGTGAATATTGTGTTCGAAATTATTTAAAAGAAGATTTTTCAAATTGGACATCTGGAAATGATGATATTGATAATTTAATACAGAAATGTCAAATAGAATCACTCATGCCGAGTAAAATAGTTGAATGGATCCCATATAGTAATTTAGAAAATATTAAATATTTAACAAAAGGTGGGTTTTCTGAAATTTATACAGCAGATTGGATTGAAGGAAAATATGAAGAATGGAATTATGAAAAAAAACAATTAAAAAGAAATGGAAAAATAAAAATAATAATAAAAAAATTAGAAAATGTTGAAAGTGCAAATCAAAATTGGTTTGAAGAGGTTTGTATTATAATATTCTATATTTTATAAAATTGTTGTAATTTTTGTATTAGCACTAATATTTTTACAAATTATTGACTTTTAGGCTAAATCACATTTAACTATAAGTAATAAATGGCCGGATGTTGTTCGATGTTATGGTTTAACACAAAATCCATCAAATGGAAATTATATGCTTGTAATAGAGAAAATGGATATAGATTTAAGAAAATATTTACAACAAAATCATAATCAACTTACATGGAAAGATAGAATGAAAATTATTGACGAAATAACTCTTGCACTTTATTATATTCATGTAGAGAAAGCTATGCATAGAGATTTGCATTCTGGAAATATATTATATTCACAATTAAATAATCATTGGTATATTAGCGATCTTGGATTTTGTGGACCTGCTGATAAATCTTCAACAAGTATATATGGAAATCTTCCTTACATAGCACCCGAAGTTATTGTTGGAAGAGAATATACTTTTGCATCTGATATTTATAGTATTGCAATTCTTATGTGGGAAATTTCATCTGGACAACCACCATTTATAAATTATGAACATGAAAATGATATTGTAATGAATATTATTAACGGTATAAGGCCAAAAATTGTGCCAGAAACTCCATTAGAATATAAAAATTTAATGAAAGAATGTTGGGATGCTGATCCATTAAAAAGACCTACCGCTTATAAACTTATGAGAAGAATAAGCAGAATTCATTTAGATTATCAAAATATGTCAGATGATTTATTCAAATCAGAAAAAAATAATTTAGAAATGAATAAAGTAGAAGAAAATTATACGAGTAGCAGATTATCTACAAGTAAAATTCACAACTTTGGAAATCTACCTGAACCAAGAAATGCAACAGAAGGTATAAATAAGTGTATAATATTTTATTATCGAATGTATTTATTTTAAAATATATTATTAATGTTGTCTTTATTATAATAGAAGAACAAGAAGGTATAACTTTATAAATAATAATTCTACCATTTTATTTGGATACTAAAATAATATACTTTATTTTACTAATAATAGCGTTTCATAGTAAATTGTATGATTTTAACATTCCTAACAATAGTAAGTATTTATTAACATTATAGCGTTGAATTTTCATATAATGATTAATTAATTTTTTTTTAGTTGACGACTTTAATAAATCAAATGAGCAGAATAGTAGCAAATCATCAAAAGTAATTACTATTTTTAGAGGTAATATATTTTAATTATTGTCAAATCGAGATTGATTTATATATTAAATTTATATTTTAATTTTTAGATAGTAATAAAAAATTATCTAAATTATTTAAAAAGTTGCAAATTAAATCAAATAGTGAGTAAATTACTAACAAATAAAGTTACTATATATATCAATTTAATTTATTAAACACGACTTTTATTTAAAATTTAGATGACGAAAAAGAAAAAACTCAAAAATGTGTCGATGGTAGGTGAAAATTTTACATAATAAATTTTAATACTATTTTAATTCTACTACTAATTACTTATCTATTACAGATGATGAAGAAGTATATAATAATCCAAACTTTCATTCAAAAGAACAAGATGAACTGGAAATTCCTGATGGTAAGCTCTTAAAATAAAGTAGAAAAAAATAAATTTCTTTATAAAGCAAAATAATTAATCTTTTTTTTATCTTTAGATGGATTTTAAATTGTCTTTTTATAAATCAAATTAACAATATTTTTTTTTTTATATGTTAAATTATTATCACTTATTATTTATTTATCATGGATTATTTAAACACTAAGATTAGAGTAGTAAATGTTTTACAAAATTCTTAGTTTGTAATTTAAATAATTTTAATAAATTTATTCCAAATTATTAAATGAATAAATACCGTATATTGATTTAATGAATTAGTATACTATTTAAATTATTCAAATTTTTTAATGTTGTTCCTATTATAACAAGAAAAAAATTAACATTTCGATGGTTGTAGCTAAAGTTTAGATTCGAGTATTCAATAAATTTTATTTTTTCAAAAAAAAAAAAAAAAAAAAAAAATCAATAAATATTAATAAACAATGCTTTTAAATTACAGAATTATCAAACGTTCTCTAATCTTATTACAATTTATTACAATCTATTCGCGATATCACAGCCATAAAAAAATTTCTGGAACACACGTTTTCAATACCTTTGGTAGCATTCGCTTCATAAAATAATTGTTTAAGATTGGACATAATATTACGGCGAGAAAGGCGAGAGAAAATCTACATATCATTCGGCTTTATCTTTATCCTTGCGTATTATACAAAAACATGGCTTTATAACTTAAAGTGATTTATTCGTAAGTCATAAAGTGAATATGAAATTAATAGCACGGAGTATAGTGATTACTTTCAATAGGAAAATAAGTACGGGAAAGATCTTTAAGCAGGAAGATAAGAAAGATCTTTCAAATTCAAAGAAATTTGCATGTTATTAGTAAACATTTCATGATTGATATTGCAGAAAAATTAAGTATTAAAAAAATGCGAGAAAATACTAATTTCTAAGGAAATAAATCGTATAAAAACTTTATAAAAAACGTATCCAATTTTTTTATAGGAATAATATTATTGTTTACGGTAGTGTTTCGTAGTTTTATTATTATTATTATTTTTTGTAGTTATAGTAGTTTTAAAAGGTGTTGTGGCGGGTTCTTATATAACATTACTGAAGTTCATACAAATAGTAGTAGTTATGCGGGTAGTTTAGTGAACCTATTTGGATGCGCAGGATGGAAGATAGTTCTTTTGAACATAAAATCTTAAGTCCCTAATAATACTAAAGTATAGTTCAATCGTGTTCTTTACTAAATGTTATATAATGACCTAACCCTTTCGCAGTCTCATCTTCTGATGAAGAAGATATAAAAGAAGGTAAAAAGCAGGTTATAGGTAAACAAGGTGACAGGAGTAAAGCGGAAGAGGAAGAGAGTGACGAAGGAAGAGTGGACAGTAAGTATCAACAAAAAAGGAGGAGGTAAACCTGGAAGTTATGGAAAAGGTAGAGGAGGTAGCCGTAGATACATTAACAAGTAGTTTCATTGTAGTTGAGTAGTATTTTAAGTTAGACGTGTGGGGACCGAGCGGTAGGCTGAAGCGCCCGGTATGGAGAGATTGTTGGTGCTTGACGCCATCAATTTCAATGTATTTCTTTCGTTTAATCTGTAATTTGTTCTTAATCGCACTTACATAATAAAGAAATGTGTTTACGCGAGTTGTCAAAAAAAAAAAGTTATATAATGTAGATCTTTCCCTTTTTTGTAATTTTTCTTGATTTCCTAATAAAGTAATAAAATGACAGAGAAAAAAAAAAAAATTTAATTGGAATTTATAATCAAGCGCTTAGGAATTATCATGAAACAGTTGAAACACTTTATTAAAAAATCTGATTTAATCCTAGTTGAATATTTTTTTCTTTTTTTACATACGTAACATGGTTTTTTACAAAATTATCTTTATAAAAAAAAAATTTTTGAATTACAGTATAACAAATAAATTTAAAAAAAATTCACCAAAAGGAAAAATGAGTCCACGATTACTGCATATTAAAATGAATGTTCGATAAACAGTTGAGAGTAATAACTTTATACTGATAAAAATTAGATTCCATGAAATGAAGATTTTACAAATCAGAAGAAACCTATTTTGGAGAATATGAAGGTGATGATATAGTCGTCGAATTGGATCCATATACTTAAATGGCGTAAGCCGTGAGGACTAATGACCTATTATTGATATTGATATTCTTATTGTCAAACTCCATACAAGTTGATACAAATAGGATTACATTTTAAGTACCCTTATTGAAACATTTCATACCAAATTTTCCCATCATGGGATGAAAATACATTATCGTCATATATATAAATCATTTGTTCCACTTTTTTGATTTTTGGTTAACTTGAACGCGTGCCAAAAGAAAAGGTGACGATTCTTTTACGTGGTTAATAATTAATAAAATTGCAGTTTTTTATGTAGATAATAAAATACCATTTATTAATCAATAAACTTTTCGCAATTAAAGCTTTTTAGTTAGACGATACAAAATATAATTTTCAATTTTCATATTCCAGAAATTCTAAACTATATAATTCATTTATTTAATGCACTAACTACAAATTTTGATGAGACCCAATTTTTTAACTTTCATTTGCTATCATGCATGAAAATGAATAAGTAATAAAAAATTAGGTTAAGTCATTAGCCATTAATCAACGATTAAAGTTCATATAAAATAAATAATCCATCTATGGTTTAATATAAATATATTTGTATATTAACTATTTATAGTACTGCATAATAAGTAAAAAAATTTGGTTTAAACATTATAACTTAAAGAGCATGATTGATATCAAGATCAATTTCTTTGGTGGCGTATCCTTATATTGAAAACAAAAATTAGATAAAAATTTTATAATGTTGACTAATATTTATAAATGTATATCTTCTTACCTTTATCACGAGGTTGGTTAGAGCTCATATTAATATCTAATTCAATTTCTTTTGTAAAGTAATCTATAAAATAACAAAAATCAATTAAATTATAAAATGAAATATGTTGATTGTTAAAATGTAATTTTATTTACCACTATTTTCATTTTCAAGAAATTTTCTTCTTTTAATAATTTGTTCTAAATAATTATGAATGTGAATTAAATAGTAGAAAGTATAATGAAAAATAATAATTTTTAAATTAATTACCGTACCATTGTCATTACTGTCTTCAACTGAATCATCTTCAAACTTTCTTTTATCTTTAAAATAATATTAATTATAAGTAAGAACATAAAAAAACCATTAAACAAAACTGAATAATTACCAGTATTTTTCTGATAATAATAAAATGGATCTAAAAATTGTTTAAAAATAAATAATTGTTAAAATTTTTCTTGCAATAAAAATGCGTTATAATTAATAAAATTTTTTACCAATAGATTGACTTCTTGAACTCCTTAAAGACATTGCAGATTGAATCATGCGACTTAATGGTCTACTCTTATAAATGGCACCTGGACTAGTCATTGTTGCAGGTCCAATATCTGATGATTTAATAATTTTAGTTTGATTTCGTCCAAATTGTTCATTATCATCCATTTTATTAATTTTCAAATATATATTTTCAGTTGTTGGTCTTTTTGCTGGAGCATTCCTTCATTAATTCAATATATCCTTCAGGTGCATTTGTAACAATTGGTGGTCATAAACCATCACATATTTTGATTATAAGTTCTATATCATGAATTTCATCCCAAAAAGGTCTTCTACCTGTCATAAATTCCCACATAATCATTCCAAAACTATATATATCTGAAGCTTCAGTATATTTTTGTCCTTGAAAAATCTCTGGTGCCATGTAAGGAATAATACCATATTTCTCATTATCATTATTTGATTCAGTTGCAGATTTACTTATTCCCAGATCACCTATGTACGCAAAATGTTTATCAAGAAAGATATTTCCACTATGTAAATCCCTGTGGATAATTTTTGTAATATGTATTTCTTGAAGTCCAATTATTATGCGAAGTAATCTTTTCGTTTTTTTTTTCCAGCTGAGATTATAAAAGTTATTGCTTAAATAATGTATCAAATCACCTGAACTATAATATGGCATGATAATCATTATATCTTTAGTAATAGGATCTTGAGTAATTCCAAAATATTTACTAATGTAATCAACAAATTCAATTTTTGATAAAATCTGATAATATACCTTAAGCTAAATAAAAAAAATATTAATTTATTATCATCACGCTGAAAATTAAAATATTGCAGGACTGTACCTCGTTCAGTTCCTTGGATGTAATGTTTTTAGAATTATTAAGTTTTTTGAGAACAACTGTATAATTGTTATTACGAACAGTTGTATTACTATGAAAATCGTAGTACTCATCAATTGGACCATCAACCCAAATAGCTTTATAAATTTTACTAAATCCTCCTTCGGCAATAAATTCTATATTTTTGAATTGATCATAGGGAACAAACTCCAATACCCTATAAATTTCACCTTTAACAAAATCAACTCGTGTATTTATGATAATGTCATCAATAACTTTGTTCCCACTTAAATTAGAATTGAATATTTCATAACATAATTGACAAGTTTCATGATTTTCGTCTATAATTTTTCTTATCTTACATTCTTTACATTTTATCTCTCCTTTGTTAACTACAGAAGTTCGTTCTGGACGACTAAAGTCTAACATCATAAACAATATTTATATTAATTGTTGTTTTGTTAATTCAAAAAATATATAAATTATTTGTAGCGTTCAAGAAAACCTTCTAGTATATATATTTAAAGTAAGGAGTTCAAAATCCTAAAGAATTATAGTAAACAATTAATCTAGAAGTTCATTATGGAAAAATTTTGAATGAACTCCTGACTAGAATTCCATGAAAGAATAAAAAGAATTCTATAAATGCAGTGATCAACTATTGTCGCGTGATACAGGTTACTATAATATCGTAACTTCCTTTTTTTCCATTAAAAGCAAGTATTTGCTGTTTGTGTAACAACCCTCGTAATAATAATTCTTTTTGTCCTTAGTCATTAAATTTCAAAATATTGGTTGAAAAAATCGATATTGATTATTTTTATATATAAAATTTTTATTATTTTTTTAAAAAAAATTATCATGAGTATATAAAAGCAGAAATGAAACAAGTTGATAAAAGATTCAAATAATTTAAAATTTAATTATAATTTTCACAGTTCTTTATATTCTAAATTTTAGTTAAATAGCGTCCAAGATCTAAAAAAAAGTGTAAGATAACTTTCATAAAAAAGTCCACATAATATTAATAATCAAACTTTATGATAATTTATTAGACATTTTCTTCCTTTACTTGATTTGTTTTCCCTATTTCTACGGCTACAAATAAAAGCAGTTCAGATGATATTTTGCATAATAAATTTATTAATAAGTTTAATAAAAAAAAATTATATAGATTTCACATATATTTGTAATTAATTGACTATCATCCATTATTAAAAGTTTTTTTAGAAAACCATTTCATAGATCAAAGCTTAAAAATATATTTTTATTTGAAGTAATATTTTCTAAGGTATCACTTCAAGGGATAGATTTCAATTTCAAATTTATTAAAATAGCCAAAATAGTTCAAATCGAGCCAACTCGAGTTGACTCAAGACTTGAGTTACACAAGCACAAATCCAAGCCTCTAAGCTAAAATAATCAAATTTTTAACCGACCGCCTGTTCAAAATTATTTTATCAAGTGATTATTAATAATTAGTTTTTTTTTCCATTTATTTATTTTTGTGATTAAAATCTTTTTAAGTGCAGCATTAAACAGAATTCCATCCACTATTTCATTGATCAGTTACAAGATAAAAAAAATTATGTTAAAAAATAAAAATAATAATAATAAAACGTTTAAAATTTTACTAAAAATATCATGATTAAAAATAAAATTTCAACGCAAAGTAGTTAGGGGGAGTGGGGACAGATAAGACAAACATATGCCTCGGAAAGTTGATCGCAAGTAATTTCGTGAAACGTATTTATCACCACGAACTTTCAGTCATTGGCATTACAGATAACAGAGATAATACTTTAGGAACGGGAACTGTAAGAGCGTCCGAAGCATTATAATCACAAAAAAAAAAATATATAAAAAACCTCTCTAAAAAAAATGTTCGCTGCATCATTAAATTTATCATAAATATTAAATTGTATGTTAAAAGTTAATGCCGCGTTGCAAATTTTGGATTTATTTCCATGTTGTATTTATTACATATTAGCTAATTGAGCGAGTCCCTAAAATTTTGGGGTGTATTTCATTGATCAACATGTGATACGTAATTGAACGCTACTATTTCGAAAATGACGATAATCAAGATAATATCAAATTTCAGAGTATTTAATGTTTTGATTTAATAATCATACTTATTAAAAATAAAGAAACAACAAATTATTCTATGAAAAAAAAAATATATAAATATGTGTACTGACATGTGTAAAGAAAACCTAACATTTTAAGATTTTATAAATTATTCATTCTTTAGTTTTTGAATAAAATAAGGAATAATTCTTTTTAAAACAAAAGTAATTGATATAAATATGACCCACAGAATTCCACCAATAAGTATAAGAACGATACCTAATCAAGCTCCATAAGCTTTATAATTATTTCCTTCAATGAATCTCATTCTAGATTCAGTAGGATACCATTCATTTAAAAATTCTTCAACAACCCCTTCATTAAGATTACTACTATGTAAAATATGTTTAATTGAATCGGCAGCAAACTTTCTCTTGCTATTAAATTTTAGCTAAAAATTCCAATCTCTCCGAATTTTTCTATTCTTATCTTTTAATAAAAAAATCTATCTTGTTTATAATATCACTACCCTATAAAAAAAGAAAATTCAGAATTTGTCCTGAAAAGTATGGAAAATGTCCAGAAATTTTCTGTGCGTCTGGAAAACATTCGGAAACGGTCATGTTTTGGAACATTTTCCGGACGCTCGATCCTGGACAAATTCTGGACAAATTCTGGAGTGTCAAGAAAATGTCTGGAATTTGTGCGTCCGGAAAGTGTTCCAAAACGTGACCGTTTCCAAATGTTTTCCGGACGCACGGAAAATTTCTGGACATTTTCCATACTTTTCAGGACAAATTCCGAATTTTCTTTTTTTATAGGGCTAACATCCAAGTTATGATATATCTAAATATTTACTAGGGAAACGGTAAACCGTTACGTAGTCCGGAGCTTATCAGTATATAGGTAGATAACCACATGCTCAATTAACCGATCAAGATAATTTCGTGTAATATAAAAACCAATTAAACGTCGACTCAAAGAACAAGCGGACGGATAACGGGATATTTTGTACCACCATGGCTAGAACATATAGAGTCCTTCGCTACGCTCCGGACTAATAAAAAAAAAATTATTAGTAATCTGAATAATTTATCATTTGGAACCCGCTAGACATAAGATTTTAAAATTCTCATAACTCTTTTATTTGTTACAAAAATTGTAATTCCTTTTATAGAATTTCATTACCTGAAAAAATTGTCATTTAAATATGCATTCGATGATCCTATTGTTCTTTACATTTTTACATAATCTTTTTAAAAGTCTAGAACTTATGGAATCTCTTTACCATAGCTTGTTAAAATGTAAAAAAGGAAATTGTATGCATATGACTTTTGGCCGGCATTATTGCGTTAGGAAATTAAATGAGAGCGACAAGTATGATTTCACACCTTGTAAAAACCAAAGTTTCCAGAATACTTATGAAAATGAGAAACGCAAAGAGTGTAACGCCTAGCAGATCACGAATCAATTGATCCGCACCACTCTGAATATCGCCAAAAAATTTTGATCAAATTAATAAAGCTTAATAAAACTCGTTACCTTATTTATATTTTACAGAAAAAATATTTTATTTTACTTTATTGAATTTTATTATTTTTGTTTTGTTTTATTTTTTATTCATTTAATCATTTTTTTTTCTTGTGGTAAACTATTTTATCTTATCTTATTTTTACTTATTTTATATTATTTATTTATTAAGTTAATCAATTTTTTTTTGTTAATATTTAAAGTTCAAACCCACAGCTGTGGAACGTTATTTCGTCATTTGATCTTACCTATTATAGAAAATTTAAATAAAAACCCTTATTTGCCAAAATTGGATAAATTTAATTGCCGATCAGATTAATTGTGTTCTTTTGTGTATTTTAACTAGTCTTGTTTCACAATTTTGCTGCCGATCTTGAAATCATTTCAAACATAAAATAACGTTTCGCTTTCATGTTTTTTTTCCCCCTTTATTACTTTTTAGTAATTTTTACACACGAATTATTAACATATTTTTTATTTAAAAATTATTTATTAAAATGGATGAAATTAAACTAAGTGATGATGTTATTGAACAAATAAAAGACTTCAACTATCAGCATTTGACTGAAAAACAAAAATCGTTAATTGATAAACTAATAACAGACAAAGAATTAAAAGAACGTTATAAAGAAAATGGTTTATGTAAAAGTTGCAAGCAGCCTAATACTGGTTTTATTTATTGTCAGTTATGTAATACACAATATTTTAAACAAAATTTCAAAAATTGGACAAGTGGAAATCATGACGTTGATGAATTTATTCAAAAAGCACAATTAAAAGCCGAGAATATACACAATGTCATAGAGTGGGTTGAATATGATAAATTTGAAGATGTTGAATATTTAGCAAAAGGAGGATTTGGAACTACTTTTAAAGCAGTTTGGAATGATGGTCCTTGGAAATCGAATTATTTTAATTGTAAATTGGAAAGGAAAGGTGAAACAAGAGTCGCTTTAAAGTGCTTACATAATTCCCAAGATATTACAGCAGATTTTTTAAAAGAAGTAAGATATTTTTACTGATTTTAGTATTATTAGCCTTTATAAATGTTAAACTAACTATAATTTTCTTTTAAGGTTGGATCAAGTATTTCAGTATTTTATATTCATGGTACAATTCGTTGTCTTGGTATTACCAAAGATCCAAAAACAAATAATTTTATAATGGTGATGGATTTAGAAAGGTGTAGCTTAAGACAACATTTAAATAACAACTTCATTTCAATGAATTGGGCGGGAAAGTTGCATAGTTTACGTCTTATTGCAATTATTCTTAAAGATATTCATAAAAGAGGATTAATTCATAAAAATTTTCATTGTGGAAATATATTAATCGATTATGATGAAATTTATATTACTGACTTGGGATTATGCCAACCGGCAAATGTTAAATCCTCTCAAAATACTCAAAATAGTAATAAAAAAATATATGGTGTATTACCTTATGTAGCTCCAGAAGTTTTAAGAGAAAAAAAATATACTCAAAAAAGTGATATTTATGGATTCGGAATTATTGCATATGAAATTTGTACAGGTTTCCCTCCTTATTATGATATAGCTCATGATGATTTATTAGCAATGAAAATTTGTAATGGGTTGAGACCGAAATCTAATTATAAAATTCCACAATTTATTTTTGACATTATTAATCAATGTTGGGATGCAGACCCTTTAAAACGACCTAATGCAGAAGAATTACAAGAGTTAATAGAGGAATCATATAATAATCGTAATAATACTGTGTTTTATAAGCAAATTGAAGATGCAGATGAAATTAATAAAAAGCCATCTTCAACAGCTCAATCACCATTATCTTCTACAAGTACACTCTCATATATTTCACATCCTGAAGCAGTTTATACAAGTAGAATTTTAGATTTTAAAAATCTTCCAGAACCAAAAAATGCCGATAGTAATGTTTGATTTACTTGGAATAGAACATTCAGGTAAATTATATGAATTTAATTTGTTTTATTAAATCATATTTTTGATACAATATTTATTTCTGACTTTTTATATACATTAGAATCAATAAAAGTTGATTTTACCAAACTCAATATTAATTCCGAAGATTGCAATTAAATTCTTTGTTTACATAGTTAAAATAATGTAAAAGCAAAATTTTGTTTATCATCAAATCTAACCTTATTACTTTATTTTATACTTGTTTTAAGTTTATAAAATTTATATGTTTAAAAAATTATCTTATATTTATATCTATATATTTATTATACATTAAAGGAAATACATTAACTTACTTTTCTGGAATCCTCTATTTAAAATTTAAGAGAAAAAAGAATGATTTCTCTATTTTTATCGTCGTAGTGGATTAAAGAAAAAATTACACATAATTTTTTTTTAAAAAAAATATCATTTGATTATTTATTAAAGTTCTTTTTTTAATTAACAAATATATATTTATTTTTAATAAAATAAAAATTATCTAAATAACCACTGATGCCATGTGATGAAATTTAGACACGAAATAACATTTAATTAAAGGACAAATTTAAGGTATCAGGAAATAAAAAGGTCCTCTAGCGCCACTTAGGATGTTAAAAGAAAAGTTTGACTTGATCCAGAAGTATCTTAAATCTCCAATGCTAATTCTCATCGAGTTAGTAAATCAAATTAAACATATTATAAATTTGAATTATTTATTAATTTGTAGTACAATTTTTGCGTTCAATATTTCCTTTACGTTGTTAGATTAAACATTACAGGCAATAAATTAGCAAAGCTAGTATTCATAGTTAAAAAAGAGAAAGAACATATTCCTTGTATTACAATTGACAAGATGAAATCAGATCTGAATGTTAGTTATACAAAGATCTAATCTGAATTACTAGATTGCAAATTCAGATGAAAAAATCATTCAAATTTTATCTTTTTTTTTTTTGATGATCAGTCAAAGAAAAAAATTATTTTTGACACCAATTTATAAGACAAGACATCCATAAACTCATAAAGGACGAAAAAAAATAAACTAATTAACATATAAATCAGTGATAAACAAAATTTACACTTTTTAATAGTATTTCCAATTTGAAATGGATAAATCATTTCTGTTAAACAGGTATAAAAGTCAAAGTGATGGTAAAACTGGAAAGATCCAGCATTTTCAATCATTACAAATTGGAGTAAAATTTACTTTTTACAGTATAAATAAAATTAGTTATGTGACTAGTAATGAAATCTTTAAATTCTTCATCACTGAGTTTAATTTCTTCCATAATAAATAATAAATAAGGAATATATCATACAGAGATTATGGATAAAATAAAAAAAGTAAAAAAAAAAATAATGAAATGAGATGAGAAAGATACATAATTTATGTAATATTGCATTACTGAGTCATGTGATTAATATTTATTTTGAACCACTGTATAAAGAAATTAATAAGTATGAAGTTTTAAATAAAATCTGTTCTTCGTTTATTTATATGGAAAACTAGATTTTGTTGATGTGTGGTGACCAGATAGATTGTTGAAAATTATATGTGATTAGGCTTTTGTTCATGATTATTTTATTTACTATAAAAAAAAAATTCCTACAAAACAAAAAAAAGAATTAGACGCTTTCCCTTTTATAAAAAATTATAAAAGATTTTAATATATTTAAAGGAATATTAAAATTATAAAAGTTATTGCTTTGATAATTTACAATCTAAATAAAAAACAAACCTTTTTTTATCCTTTTCAATTTATTCATTCTCTTGTAGATAAATAAATCATGTAAATATTTTTTCTATAGATAGTTTTTTAGTAAATAAATTTTAATAAATTTAAAGGTAATTTTATTCAATAAACAGTAAAAATAAGAAAATTTTTTTTAATAAGTAAATACAATATAAAAAATTTTTTAAAAGTAAATATGAAATTTTTTTAATAAGTAAATACAAAGATATTTTTTTAGTAAGTAATATAAAGGTTTTTTAATAAATAAATGTGAAGATTTTTTTTTTTAAAAAATGGCTTTTTTTCTCAAAGGTACCATAATATGAGATTCTGGTTTGGATCTGGACCGGACTGGGCCGGATTTCAAAAAATAGACTTTGTGCAGGACTCCAGTCTAGACACTAGAACATTAAATTAGAAAATTTATATCAATTGTTAAATTTAAATCATAAAAAATTCCTTCAATCTTTGACCAAGTAAAAAAATACTGTACAAATAAAATTAAATAATTACAAAATAAACATAGATATGTTACCTTTAAAGTAATCTGAGCTTAATTGGTTTCATCTATAATAAAATAATTAATTCAATTTAGTTAAAATCTAATAGATCAAAAAAATCACATATAAAAGTAATTACCTTTAGAATTAAGATCAAGTTTAGTAAAATCCATTTTTAAAGAATCTATAAATATTAGTTGTTAGCATCATAAAAAAATTTAAATCATTATAGAAAACTACCTGAATATTCTAAATCATCATTTTTGTCTGCATTTTTAGGTTCTGGAAGATTTTTAAAATCTAAAAGCCTACTCGTGTAAACTGCTTGAGGATGTGTTATATATGGGAGTGTACTAATAGATGATAATGGTGACTGAACTGTTGAAGATGACTTTTTGTTAATTTCATCCGCTTCTTTAACTTGCCCATAAATTATAGAATCCACTTTATTATTAGCAATATCAGAAAATAAATTATTAATTAAATTAAATAATTCTTCTGCATTTGGTCGTTTTAAAGGGTCTGCATCCCAACATTGATTAATAATGTCAAAAACCAATTGAGGAATTTTATAATTAGACTTTGGCCTCAATCCCTGGCAAATTTTCATTGCTAAGAATTCATCATGAGCTATATCATGATAAGGAGGGAACCCTGTACAAATTTCGTATGCAATAATTCCATATCCATAAATATCACTTGCTTGAGTATATTCTTTTCCTCTTAAAATCTCTGGAGCTACATAAGGTAACACTCCATATATTTCTTTATTACTATTTTGAGGGGATTTGGCATTTGCTGGTTGACATAATCCCAAATCAGTAATATAAGTGTAATGACCAAAATTAATTAATATATTTCCACAATGAAAATCATGATGAATTAATCCTTTTTTATGAATATTTTCAAGACCAATTGTAATACCAGTTAAACTATACAACTTTTGCACCCAATTCAGTGAAATGAAGTTGTTATTTAAATGTTGTCTTAAACTACTATTTTTTAATTCCATTACCATCATAAAATTATTTGTTTTTGGATCTTTAGTAATACCAAAACAACGAACTATGAAACTATTATGTACTAAAATATTTGATTCAACCTTAAAAGAAAATTATAGTTAGTTTAACATTTATGAAGGCTATTAATGAAGATTCATAAAAAAATTATCTTACTTCTTTTAAAAAATCTGCTGTAATATCTTGTGAATTATATAAGCACTTTAAAGCGACTTTTGTATCACCTTTTCTTTCCAATTGATTATTGTTATAATTCGTATTCCAAGGACCATCTTTCCAAACTGCTTTAAAAGTAGTTCCAAATCCCCCTTTTGATAAATATTCAACATCTTCAAATTTATCATATTCAATCCACTTTATGATATGTGCAGTATCTTTAGTCTTTAATTGTGCTTTTTGAATAAATTCATCAACGTTATGATTTCCACTTGTCCAATTTTTGAAATTTTGTTGAAAATGATTAGAAACACATGACTGACAATAATAATAATTAGTATTAGGCTGCTTACAAATTTTACATAAATCATGTTTTTTATAACGTTCTTTTAATTCTTTGTCTGTTATTAGTTTATCAATTACCGATTTTTGTTCTTCAGTCAAATTCTGATACAGGTGGTCAAAATCTTTTATTTGTTCAATAACATTATCACTTAGTTTAATTTCATCCATTTTAATAAATAATTTTTTGAACAAAAAATATGATGTTATTAATTCGTATGTAAGAATTATTAAAAAATAATAAAGGAAAAGAAAAAAAAAGTGGTGAAACTGTTGCAATGATTTTGAGATCGGCAACAAAATTATCAAAAAATAGACTAGTTAAAATACACACAATAATCTTGATCAACAATTAAATTTATCATTGCGGTTTTTATAAATCACTAAGATCTACAGTAGACTCTCTTTCGTAATGATAAATTTAACAATAAAAAGTTTAGTTTCATTATAAAGAGACTTTCATTTAAAAATTTCTACATATAAAATGCATATTGTATACAAAAATTAATTTAATTTTAAACATAGATTCAGTTAAACTATTGTGTAATTAAAAATTGGTATTACTGAGCGGCAAAATGGGTTGAAAACTCTTTGGAATATTGTCCTTTGTTGATTTTGGCATACTTTTTAACAACATCTTGTAGTGTATTTTTAAATTTCATTATTTGTCAATTTTACATATTTTTTATAGTGGCTTTCAAAATTAAATGACGAAACATTCGAAACAACACACAAATGATCAACAAATCATGTGACATAACCACATGTTAATAAGAAATTTTGAATTTTGAATTTTGAATTTTAAAAATTTTATAAAAATTAAACATAACCCGCATAAATAAGTCAAATAAAGAATCGAAATTTAGTGTCATTTAATTTAATAAAAATAAATTTCTATATACAAATTAAAATATGATGTTAAATTATTACAGTATATTAAAAAAACAATTTGAATAAAATTATATATTTAATTTATAACTATTGCATAGTTTTCATAGTTTCCCAAAAGTTTATTCAATCTAATAATTTATGTCATACAATATCTAACACTAATAGAAAATGTATTAATTAGACAATTTCACAATTAACTAATTATAACAATATATAATAAATAATACATCCTATCATCGTTATTTGATCTCATAAAATTACTTTTCTGTTAAAAGAGCAACTTTCTTCAGTATGATTTTTAATATTGTGAACCTTTAAAAGTTCAAACATCAACTTTTTTTTAGGGATATAACAACAGGTTTTTCATATAAAAACTCTATACACTTATAAAATGTGTTCAATAAATATTTTTATTGGAGAAACGAAACTAGAATAAAAAATGTTCGACACAAGACGACACATGATCGCATAATTTTGAAACCATTATATTTAATTTTTTACCAAACACAAGAAATAAAATTGCTTACAGTATCAAAATATCACGTTTTATCAATAAAGTAAAAAGAAAGTTAATTTTATCATAAAAGTTCTATCTAAAAAGGAAATTTTTGCCATTTACATATAAAACAACTGAAACTTTTAAAAAGGAACCTTTAGTCATGAGGTCATAACATAACACAAAATTCTAAGGTTCATTATGTAATTGATAGTCCCACGCTACAATTTTTTCAACTGATGCAACTACTGAATCAGATGAAACTATTTCCATTCTTAAAAAAGTAAATATTATGGATTTAGAAAAAAGAAAAGAAGTATATATATGGAGTATGTGGGGAATGTAATGAACCAGGTACAGGATGGCATTGGTGTCAATCTTGTAATGCTAAAAGATTAAAGGAAAATTTTAAAAATTAGACTAGTGGAAATAAAAATATTTGATGAATTAATACAGCAATCACAACTTAATGCTTTTTTTCATGTATTTTATGTAAAATGTCTTGAATGGATACCTTTTGAAAAATTTGACAATGTTACCTATCTTACCAGAGGTAAATTTATTTGGCTGACTGGCCTGAAGGAAATATTTGGTATTAGGATATTGAAAATCAAGAATGGGTCCGAACTCCAAGAAAAGTTGCATGAAAAGTTTAAATAATTCATCTAATATGAGTAATAATTTTTTATATGAGGTAATTAAAATAAATATTGCTTATTAATATTTGTATTTTAATACGTAATTTATTAACAAAATTTCTCTTTTTAATGATTTTAGATTAATTATTATATTTCAGGTCATGTTCATGCTACTAATACTGTTATGTGTTTTGGAATAACTCAAGATCCAAATACTAAAGATTATATGATGGCTTTAGAATATTGTGTGGGAGGAAATTTGAGAAATACTTTAACGAAAGGTTTAGATTATAAAATCAAAATGGATTTTTTATTTTATATTATAGATGGACTTTCAGATATTCATGATGCTGGAAATATTCATAAAGATTTTCATTCGGGAAATATATTACATGATAATCATAATTATGTACTAACAATTAGTGATTTGGGAATGTGTCAACCAGTAAATGATAATGAGCGAAAAGGAATTTGTGGAGTAATACCTTATATGGCACCCGTGGATATCAATATACAAAAGCAGCTGATATTTACTCATTTGGAATAATAATGAATGAACTTATGTCAGAAGAAATTCCTTATAATGATATTCCTCATCATTTTTTGGTTGTTAAAATATGTAAAGGATTTAGATCAAAAATTTCTAAAGATACACCAAAATTAATTGTAGATTTGATTATTAAATGTTGGAATGCTAAAGCAGAAAATAGACCAACCTAAAGAATTACGTCAAATATTGGAAAAATAGTACCCTAGCCATGGCGAAAAAAAAAAGTGGTAGTCACGTGACTTGTAACCGTTATGCACTTACACGTGAAAATGAACAGTGACGAATAATTTGTGACGAATAATTTTTTACCTACTCGAAAAAACTAAGTCCCTCAGATAAATATACGATTTACCCCAGCGTCGCCTCAAGATTTTTCATCCCCACGTGACTGTAATTTTGGGCAAAATTAATTGTTCGAAATTACTAAAATTTTCGTAAAATGAAATAAAATAAAATACAGTCAAAGCTCGTTATAGTGAACTTTCCGTTCCACTATATAATTTTTTACCTTTTTTTCACTATAACGAGATTTATTAAGAAAATTCACTATATCGAGAGAAATTAATTATAAAGAAAAAAATCAATAGGTCACTATAACACGATTTTACTTAATGTTCACTATAACGAGATTCACTATAACGAGCTTTGACTGTAATATTTTCGTAAAAAAAAAAATTTTTTTTTTGTACAATAAATCTTAACATTTTTATTCATATTTAAATTTTAAATTTTCCTGATAAATCTTTAATAGTATTAATTAATAAAAGTTATAAAGTTTTATTGTAAGCAAAAACGTAAAAATTTTAAGAAAACCATTAAAAAAACAAATTGAAGACCTGTCATATATAGTTTTTTTGTTTTTATATCCCTAAATTTCGTGATCACAAATTTCCAATATCATCCAATTCATGTAAAACTTTCGCTTCCTGTTAAAATAATCCAAACCAATAAATAATCTACCTTTGCATAAGTAAATAACTATGGCTGAAACACCATTTACAATTGAGACGCGTTAAAAATCTGAACATGGTAGTTAGTTTATTGTTAGTTAGTTAAAAAATAAAGTATTATGAGAACTATCTTTGAAGGTTCGAACCATTGTTCTTCTTCTTTTGTAAACCGTAATTTCAGTCAACATTTTTTCAATTGGTTGAAAATTTTTTTCAACACTCTTCACCCATTTAAAATTTCCTTTATCTTGTTGATCTATTAGACCATTAATAAAGAATTACATTAAACTTAATTTAATTAATTACAAATCAATTACCTTTAAGAATATCAAGTACTTTCTCTGTTGTATTAATAAGCCTTTCATATATCTCTTTACAAACTTGTAAATTCTCATCTTCGGCAACTTCAAAAATTAATGCTGTTTGTAAATTATGAGAATTAGATCGTTCAAAATCAATAATTTGAGAGGATATTGTATTAATGAAAAGATATTGATGATGACGATAAACCATATCAAAAAATAAAGTATCTACTATTCCTTTTTGTTGTATAAGATGTTTACAAATTAAAAAACGGCTAGTAAGAAAAGATGGACATCCACAAAAACAATTATTGATGTCAGTTAAATATAAGTTATTATTAAGAACTCGTGATGAAAGCTCCTTCCATTCCCTTTTAAATGCCTTTCGCCGATCAACTTTTTCTCGTTTTACAACAAAAATATGATTAAATTTTCTTTCATTTTGTGGAACCACTTGCTTCATGATAATAAAGACAACTAAATCCAGGCGCGGACGAAAAAATTTGTATAGAAAATCACGCTTTAGTACTTTCCAGTGAGCTTCCACAAACATATTAGTTTTCATAATTGAAAGTTTATTACTACATCCTGCCCGAAACCATAGAAACCACCGGTCTGCACTATACCACTCATTCCACAGATAAACCCAAAGCCATGATAATAAATGCTGCTGACAAAAATCATAAATTTCTTTTACAGCTTCTTTCCAAATTTGATTTGATGAACGAAACTGCCCATTGGCCATTGGAATAAGTGGATGTTCATGTAAATGTTTATTCATTTTTTCCCAGACTATAGAACGTAATTCTTTTGGACAAAAAATTATCTTCTCCTTAGTTAAATTAGGCCGAAATGAAGGATCAATAAAAGAGAATAATTTGTGTGCTGCCTCGCCATTATAATTAATTTGTATTGGTTTTTTATTACTTGATAGTCTTGCTTCTACTGCCTTTTTAATATGCCAAAGACAGAGTTGTACCTTTATGTTTTTCCAAACAAAACGAGCAGCTGATATTTGAGCAAAGTCCTTATCACTTATAAAAAACTCTGGTTCTAATCCCGTTCTTTTAGTTGTATCAGGAAGTCAATTAAGATTCCAGTACGTATTCCATTGCCGCAATTTCCATTATTCTCCATGAACAAATATGCCAATGGAAATCCCATGCCATCGATTTCAGCATGTACTACATACAACTCAAACTTTAAATTATTCGTATTATCTAAAAAAGAATAAATATAATTTATCAAATGTATTATAATTAAATTATACAAAAAAAAAATACTTACATGTAGCATCAACTCCAATTTCATGTATTTTGAATTGAGAATTCTTCAACACATTCCATAATTCTGTTAAAAAACCAAGGGAATTTGGACAATTTTTTTGAAATATAACATGATATGAATCTTCTTTAAGCCATTTTTGAGCAGAAATAAAAGGATCTTCATCTCGTTTGTATCTATGCTGCCCAATTGCTGTCCACCAATAATGTATCTGTTTTTGACGAATATTAAGGTCTAAACCACGTTCAACAAGCCGCTTGTAAATCTCTCGTGGAAGTAAATCAATATTATCTGATATAAAAAGTTTAAGTTCAGGTGAAATAGTCATTAATAATAATTTTTATGCAACCTTTACACGAATACCGAATCATCGATTGATTATCACGATGCTTATTAATATCTGAATGTTTTTTTTTGATTTTTCCTTTAAGCAATCTCTCTGAGAACAATAATATCGATAAGTTACATTTTTTTTTTTTTGCATTAAAGCATCGTGAAATCTTTATTAAAAAAAAGTAAAATCAATAATAAACACATAAAATCAAATACTGTATAAATAAATTCAACTCACACCCAGGTATATTCGTCCACATCAGATATTATTTTTACAATACAATTGGCCCATTCCTTTAAATCACCTTCCAGTCTAGTACTTTTTATAGTACAAGAAAGTTTAAATTCATGATTTTCTTTGTTCGTGCTATTATTCATATTTTCAAATAAATCTGCTATATAGTCATCAAAATCATGAAAATCCACCATAACGCGATCAACATCTGCATTATTTTGCATCATTTTTCGCTGATAAACTTCCTTATTTTGAACGCGCCATGTATTGCAAATACGAAAGGATTTTCCATTAACGGTAAATAAGTTAAGGGGTAAAGTTTTTTCACATCCTTTACAATACTGCTTGTTATTGTCATTTGTCGTAAGAATTTTTGAAGTCATTATAGTTCTATAAATATTTTAAATGAATATTATCAATAATTAATAATATAAAATAAATAAATCTCAATAAAGTAATAATTTATTTAAAGTAATTTTATTGTTATTATATTAATATTATACAAAATATTTTGTGTTCACAACATATAAAGTTACAATAATATTATAATATAAAAATATAAAATAATAATCAACTTATAAGTTATACCTGATAAATAAATGTCGCGTGATGTATTGTACAACCGTACATCATAATTTTTGCCAAACAAAATTTTGGCCAGAATTACAAAGTCACGTGGGGTGAAAAATCTTGGGGCGACGCTGGCGAAGATTAAATATACGGGTGTGACAATATGATGAATAAATTCAGTCACGTGATTGACACTTTTTTGTTTTATTGGAAAAATATATTAGTGACAGTGATGATGAAGGTAGCGTAATTTATTCTCAAATAAAAGAATGTGAAAAAATTAAAGAGAATAAATCAAAAAACAGAACCAATGAAAATAAATCTAAAAATCTTCAAACACATCCACAAGCAATTTATACTAGCTGACTTTTAAATTTTGAAAATCTTTCAGAACCACCGATTATTTATCTTCATATCAAGGTAATTATACTGTACGTTTAAAAAATTAATATTTAAAATATAATTTATTGATTTTTTTATTTTTTTTAATAGAAACTATTTCATCGTCATCAGCAAATCCAAGTAAGTATATATTTGAATTATTAAAGATTATTGTGATTATTATAATAATGTTTATTTTCATTTTATTAATAGTTACTGAATGTTTGGATTGTGAATTAAATGAATTAGGTAAGACATCCGTTTTTTAAATATATGAAATTATTAATTTAATTTAATTATTATTATTATTATTATTATTATTATTTTTTTAAAAATAGATCTCAATCAAGACGATGATGAATTAATTTTAAGGGGTAAATTTATTTATCGCCCATAGCGATGCATCGCCTCTGGGCAAAATTAAGAGGAGTGTCACGGGTGACAAAAGGTAGCGGTAGCGATGTCTTTTTATTATATATTATTCTATTTCAGTACTTTTATTTATTATATTATTTTAGCAAAATTTTTTTATTTTTATTATACAATGTAGCGACGTGACTTTATTTGATCAAAGAAAAATAAGTTTTAAACTATAAAATATTAAAATAATTGTTATTTATTTTTTACTATTTATATTATTAAAATTTATTCACTAAAAAAAATTAACTACAAATAAAATTTACAAAAGATTATATTAAATTTCAGTTACTTTTAATAAATTTAATTATTATCACCCTGAAGTTATCTATTTGGAGCTAATAATTAATCCGAAAAATCCTTCTGAATTGAAGCTGAAACCTACAAAAACAGAAAATAAAGAGTCTTTAGTATTTCTTTTTTTTTAAAAAAAATAGATAAATAAATCAAAAAAGTAAAGAAAATAATAGTTAATTCGGAAAGATTAAAGAATTTATTTTGGTCATGTGCTGATCAGCCACTAATATCAGTTTGAGTTAGGCTTGATTTGAGTTGATTCATGCTGAACCGCTTCAAGTTGGTTTAGTCGCTCCACAAAGCAGTAGCCGAATTAAACCTATGTTTTACTGCGAAATTAAAGTTTATTCATTCATTTTTTTTTAAAGGTTTTAGATTTCGTCAGGTTGTAAAATCATAAATACTTCTTTTCCTAATGAATCAAAACTTTAAAGAAAAATTAATTTAATACATAATTTTTTAATAATTCGAATTTATATTCAATTCGTTTATAAAAAAAATTAACATGTTAAAGAATTGACTTAACAAAATATATAATTTTGGTGAGAGAAATTTCCTAATTTAACGGTCTTGACTGTATTCCTGCACAAAAGTCCGTTTTTTGAAACCCAGCCAGTCCAATTCAGATCCCAACCAGAATTTCTTTTATTCGTTGTATTTATTGTAAAAAAAATCTTTATATTTATTTATTTAAAATTTCGTATTTACTTGTTTAAAAAAAATTTCTATAACGTAATTGATTACGTAATCTCTGTATAACTTGCGCATCACCTATTACAGCATGTGATTATAATTGTCCCAGATTTACGAAATCGATTTTTTGTTTATGAAACCCATAACTAATACTACATGAAAATTCGGCATGACTACGTTATTCTCCTTAATAAGGCACGGAAACAACAACAAATATTTGATAATTGCTTTCGCACATAACATTTATTAAAAAAAAAAAGAAAAAAAAATTATATATATATTATTTTATATAAATAATTATTTTATTACTTTTATAACAGCACATTTAAAAATTATTGCTTTTACACTTTATTAATATTTCTTAAATTTTGCGAAAAACAGATATTTATATATACATATTTATACATTAATGAAATTTAATTTATTTTTTTGTTTATAGCGTAATTTCAATACTTTGGTTGAATGAAATAGGTCTAGGAATCTTAAATAAAGTTGTTCAGTATATATGGTATTAATCAAATATTAATTTTTATCATATTAAGTAATTTCAAAGGTATGACGTATGAATGTTTTTGTGTAAAATTACTTTGCCTTGTTTTTACACTTTACAACGTAATCTTAGTAAAATAATGTTAGTTTATTTGTTTATTAAATTTAATTAAGTGTAAAAATTTTATATTTAAATGTTCTTATTGTAAAAGAAATAAAATGTTTTTTTTTTTTGTTATAATATTTTAAGAAAAAAAAAAATACACTTTTTTTTTTTTCCTTTTTTTTCGTCTGTTCCGTTTTTTTTTTTAAAAAAGATAAATGTAAGCCAATCAAAATTTTGACGCCACAAAATCACGTGAAGAAGAAAATTTGTTTGTCTACCGGCATATAAAACCGGCTACCCGGACTACTCCCGGACTGGACAGGTGTAAATTAAGTAATCCTGTAAAAGAAATTCTCTTTTTTGGAAGTTTCAAACGGAGTATATTTCCTTTTAGGAAATTTTTTTAAAAAATTCATAATATTTGCATTTATTTAATGATAAACACTTTGCATATTATGCCAAATGTTCTTTGTACTAAACAATATGGTGTTTAATATTAAACAATATGTACTTTACCTTTAAATTTCTGTTTAGCCTGGCATTCGATACTCATTCGATAGCTACTATTTTTCGGCGGCGAAGTATAATAAGTATAACAAATGCATTATTTTCAATATAGTTAATTAACAATGAATGTATAATTTGAATTAACCTAAAATTAGGTGAAAATCCTTGCTATTTGACGATCAATTCATGTGCGACGGGCATAAAAATTTAAACGTTTTATAATTCAATTACTAAAAGAATTAAAAATGTTATTATAGTAAGTTATATGAAAGACTATTCAGTTATTTCTTATGACCTATATCCGTAAAATTAAAAGAAATTGTTTCTAGACTTATAAAGCAAGAAATTTAATGATCATAATATTTAATACTTAGAATGCATGTTAGAATAAAATTAAATCTGTTATGTGATGTTTCATTAAATCTATATAGATGGTGTAGTATCCTTCGGCAGTGCGGAATTTGCGCCATAATAACATATTTCATTATATATTTATGGTGAAATATTTATCATCAATTTTAAAATTATTTAGCACCATGAAAAGTTGATCCGTTACGCCAAAATGTATTCTAGATTCAAAGAGAATTTTCCTTTTTAGAGTTCTAATTGTTTAAAGAAAGATGCAAATAATAAATTAATGTGCATAATAAGTTTTGAAAGTCAAAAGGTTAAATTAAAAAATGAATAACATAAAAATGTAGGATATTGTCGGTTAATTTGGAAATAAAAAGAAAGTACCTTACGTATATTGCATAATCTGATATTATGAAATTTATCTGTTAAACTTTTTAGTAAGTTAAAATCACTATTCACCGAAGAAAAGATACGATCTAGTACTCAACTTTGAATTGTATTCCCATCGTATCGACTATAATCGGTAACAATAAATCATGCATATATTGGAATCAAATGACATAAACCATTGTAATTTTAAAAATTACGTAGGATTTTTAACCAATTTGATCGAAAAATTAGATCTGCTGCTGCGGTCAAAGAAAATCAATGCATTGTCAATCGATTACGCTAAAATAACATTCAATTAAAATATGAAATAAAAACATAAGGTCTCAGAGTTTTTTTCATGAGATGAAGAAGGTTTACCCTTTAAAATAGTCACAACATTCATAATTCCTAAATATATAAATTTACCAATTTAGTAAACATAATGAAATAATGGGTTTACTTCTTAATGATTTCAATATGTACATACCTTTTTTATACTTTTAAACGATTTGAAATTCTGTAACAATCAAACATCAACAAACGCCATAATTAAATGGAATCTTGGACGAAATCATCGAATTTTTTTTTTTTACTGGTAAAGTATAAAATCAATGAATGAATGATTAAAATGACGATTATTTATTTTTTCAATTATTACAGATTTGTTTCTACCTTTTCGGAATTAGTTTTATCAAGAATAATCAATAGGATTAACTATTTTCGTAAATTAAAACAAAATATTAATGCATGAAATCTTCTTAATTGATCTTATCATGATTTATAATAAACTTTTTATATACAATTCATTTGACTTTCAAAAGAAAAACAGATAAAGCTAATTCAAAAATAAATATATATATACCACTGGTTTACCTATTTCATCTCTACAGTTCTAATTCTCTTTACTTCATTTGATAGTATGAACGTTAAAAAATCAACCAAATATGAAATTCCGCTCTTTAAAGTACCATTTCCACCAGAACTGACAGTTGAAGAGATCTTGAGCAATAGGTCAGAAGATAGACTTAAGTCGAGGGCTCCCAACAGTTACTTCATATACAGACTAGCTTTCCTCAAAGAACTTAGAAAACGAACCAATGACAATGTGCCTATGACAAAAATATCATCTTACATTAGTTCGATGTGGTTCAATGAAACGACTGCAGTAAGAGATGCTTATAAGAATCTATCTGAACAAGTGGAAAATCGGCTAACGGAAATAAGGCGGAAGGAAAAATTAGTTCTTGTCAATGAGTCATTGTCTCTGGACCTACAAGATAACTCACCATCCGGAGTTACCGAGTACAACAATGTTGTTAGTCCAAGACACATTCCAATCCTTTCTGTTCCTTCCTACCAACTTTATGACTCACTATATCCTGAGGTTACCTTAAATGTTAATTCAAGTAACATTCAAATCCCTTATTCCAATCCTTACCAACTTTTTACACCAGTAGATGATTTAAATTTCAATCCTTACCAACTTTTTACACCAGTAGATGATTTAAATTTCAATCATTACCAACTTTTTACACCAGTAGATGATTTAAATTTCAATCATTACCAACTTTCTACACCAGTAGTAGATGATTTAATTAATATAAACTTTTTTTCTATCGATTCATGCTTTTGTGAAATATGCCAGAATAATTTTATTAATTAATGGGCAATCCTAAATCAAAATTTTTCAAAATTTTTTTTCTTCGTACTTTATATTGTCGTTATTTTTTGTTGTTTTTTTTTCGTACTTTTTATATCGTCGTTATTTTCATTGTTTTTTTTTCGTTCTTTTTATATCTTCGTTATTTTTCGTTGTTTTTTTTTCAAGATTGGCTTCATCTGAATTTGGCGTTTTAGTTTTCAAATCTTAAAACCTATATGATTTTTTTACATTAAGAATAATTAAGTTTGTAACAAAAAAAAATAAGTAGAATAAAAAATATATGATAAAGTGTTATTATATCATTTAATCCTGAATTCCGGCGTCATTGTGTTGCTAAAAATTTATATGTTGTGATATGGCATAACTCGTATCACCGATTGGCAATGATAAAATCACATCTTGTTGTGTTTCAATAAATCTTTCACCGGACGTACAACCCTTTTTTTTTATTGCAAAATTTATGAATATAGTCCTGGTTAGTAATTTATCTCACGCCAATACCGCTACCTTAAATGAATTAATTAACTTGAAGACTTAAAAAATTAATACTTATGAATTACTTATCAAGCGAACTGAATATATTTATATTTTCCATAATTAATACTTATGAATTACTTATCAAGCGAACTGAATATATTTAATATTTTCCATAAGATATTTTTTATATTACTCTATGAAGAAGTCGGATTTATATTTAACAATGATGAAATGAAGTTGACGTTTTAAAAGAATGGAACTTCAAGATAACAGTAAGTAAAAAATTACTTAAATTTTTCTAAATTTTTAAATGTAAATTGTAATGTCAATTACTAAATTTACATTTATATTAATAAATTTAGTATCAAATAATATGAAAATACTTAATAATGGTTCTTGTCAAAATTTTAGGTGTAAATTTAACGTAAGGTATAGAAGTTAGATTTGTATTAGTAATTTCTTAAATGGCTTAAATCCTGTAATGAATGTATAACTTCAACAAATTTGTGCTTAGAAATTCTTCTAATATAGGATATTATTCTATTTCTTCACATTACTTAGATATGCGAATAATTATTTTTTTATGTAGTTCTACTTTCGGATTCTTTCTCTCAAGTATGACGAGTTTTTAGGCCTGATAATTATTCTTGTTATTCTACAATATTTAAAAAAAATTCTGGACAAATTAGCTCAAAAGCCATTTAAGAGATAATTAATTTACAAAATAATTCCCCGAAATGTATTAGTAGTTTTCACTGGTTCGGAGATGGATTACGAATTAAGAATAAACAAAAACGGCGAGAGAAAAGCCTATTACCGAATTGATTGTTGGTAATTTGTAATTCGGTTAGTTGCATAGTTTCCCAAGGTAGGGATTGAATCGATAATCGAATCAAAATCGAATCTCACTTGTTGAAGAGAAAATTGAAATTAAGCAAAAAAATTAATTTTAGCATTGCATCTAAAATTAAAATGCATGATTTAAAATATTTTTTAAAAAAAATTGATCGATAATAGCCTTCAAACTTAAAAATGACGAAATGATGTTATAGTAATTTGTTGGGTATTAGTAACGATACATAATTTCTTAATAGATTTTACAATTTAATTCAGAATTTATATATTTACTGATCATGGAATTAATTATCAAAGCTTAAAATGGATTATCTTTTAAGGAACAAAAAATCGAATCTACAAAGATTTGATAATCGATTCCCATCCCTAGCCCAAGGTAAACACAGAATCTAATGTAGATATTTTACAAATAGCATAGTGAAAAATTTTTCAAATGATTTAGTCAAAAAATTCTCAAACATAAAATACGAAGTAAATATTTGAATTAAATATTGATGCCGAATTTTTATTTTTATTTTGCTTTTCTCTAAGACGTGAGTTACATTTTAGTTTCTTACGATCCTTTATTTCAAATTTGAAACATTTTATTTATTGGATAAAAATATCAAATGAAATAATTTAAAAAATAAAATATATTAGTTAACTGTACATTTTTTTTTTACATAATGAAAATGGCTGCTACATACACTATTGTTTTGGCGTAGTAACTATGGTAATTTTATTTATAACTAAAACAGTATATCGATTCGCGTTTTTTATTCTGTGAAAAAATTTGCTTGTCAACCGGGGGTAAATTTTATATGTCAACCACTAAATTTTGACCAATCAGAGTAGATCATATGCCACATGAATTTATACAATATGAAAATGATCATCAGGTGATTAAATACTCCGGCGAAATGGTGAAGTACTTTACACAAGAAATCCCAGTTTTTTATTGGCTGAATTCCGGATCACATGATATAGAATCGGAAACAAAATCACGTGATTGTCGAGTATAGACTTCTCGGCACCATATTTATATTAAATCTAAAAGTACTTTCTCTAAGAAAGATTTTATCCCATTTCACATTTTTAGGTCAAAATCCTAAAATTTTATCCATCTCTGAATTTCATGCTCAATCAAACTGCACACTTCAGATCTTAACATTTTTCGTGTTTTTGAAATTTCGAATTTTTCCTTCTTTCGATCTTCTTAAAATATCAAGCTTCTAATTTTAGTTCTCTCCCCAAATGATCTACTATTCATTCAAATCACATGTTTTCTAGTTTAACGTCATCTCGGACGTTAAATTTGTAACATCATACAATTTTAAACTATATACACTAATTTCTAAATATAATACTGCGCCTTATAATTAATAAATTTACTAGGTATATTACGGCATTACAATATCAAGAGTCATTGAAGCGGTGCAATCACATGATGTGATACAAAGATATACGACGACTTCACAAAACGACAAAACGTGTTAAAGAAGAGAACCGAGAGATAGATACCAAGAACATTAACGAGAAAAGAGCCAGCGACTAAGAGTCCAAAGAGTAGGGAATTTACAAAGAGGTGGCGAGTGGAGGACAAATAAATTATCTATTACTCATAGGTGATACTCGTTATAAACAAAAATTTAAAGGGTTGTTTGTAGTTTATAGTTTAGTTTTTTTTTTGTTTTGTATTTGTTTTTATTTTTGTGTTATTCTAGTTTAGATACCTTTATTGATTTGATTCTGTTGCGTCAACATTGTAATTGATTACGTTGTAATTCTTTGCAATACTAATAAAAGGGGGTGAAGTATAAATTTCATGATCAAATCATGTAATTCCGTACGAATCCCGTACAAATTCCGTATCCAAACCATATTTTAGTTATACGAAATTGTGCATTTTTCTGTATTTTTTCAACGGACTATTATGATACATTATTTCCATAAAAAGTAAAAAACATTATTAAAAAGCGTATCCAGTTTTTTTATAGAGTAAATATTCGTTTCAGTTTAGTTATTTTTCTTGTAGACTTTCAATTTTGACTATCCTCCGCTAACCTTCATATAATAATCATCACCTAACATTAAAAAACGAATCAGGATAAAAAAAAATTTCTCTCCTCTTTTAATCAGTTAATTTAGCCATACAATCGAAAGCGAATCTACCAAAGTTGTATTATTATTATTACTAGTGAATATATAAATTTATTACTATCAGAATTACCCAATTTGAGATGCAATTTTATTGATATGTGATGTAAGTTTAATATAGTAACAGTATAACCAGGGTTGGGAATTGTACTAGTACAGTACTAGTACAGTATAGTACAGTACTAAGTACTGTACTTGTACTTGAAAATTTAGTACAAATACAATTTTAGTACATACTATTAATAAATTTTATTGGTTAATTTTATAAATATAAACAATATTGATCACATGATATCTACCTAAAATGGTTAAATTATATTCTAGTAAAAAGTAATAATTGTATTAGTACAGTGTACTTAGTACTTGTACGAAATTTTTGCTAGTACAGTACATACTAGAATTTTGCTAGTACAGGTGTACTACCACAACCCTGAGTATAACTATCAAACAAGATAAATCTTATGTAATCTTTAATGAAGTACAGTTATATAGAATCTTTATATATATGAAGTGAAAATTTTTTAATCTATCTTTTTTTTATTAATATATTGAAATTAAAAAAAAATAAAATAAATAAAATAAAATTTGAAGATAAATGATTGAAAATTTTATAATGATTCGAATTAGTACTGAAAAATTTTAAATTTGATCTTTTACCTTTAGAAATCGTTGAGCATGTAAACACATAAAATTAATATCTTAAAATCTAAATTCTTTTGATTACTTTGTTATTTTCTTTATTAATCAATTTTTTTATTAATCATAAGTATGAAATCATTTTCCTAATAAGGATTTCTCTAATGATGCCGATCTCTTAGTATTTGTGTTTATTATATAAGGCTTTTTATAGTTTAAGATAAATAATTAAAAAAATCTCCTGGACGATCATCGCCTTTACCAGCATTAGTATGGAACTTGGGCAGAATTAAGAACATGAATGTAACTTCGCCCAAATGGCATTCTAATGCTGGTAAAGGCGATGATCGCCCAGGCAATACCCGAGATTTCCTTATATATATGCACAACCATGCACAAAAAAAAAAAAATGAAATTGATCACGATGATCATTGCTCAATTAACTTTTGACAATAAAGAAATTTTTTTTTTATGCAAGAGGCGAAATTTTGCATACAGCCATGCATATTTATACATGGTGTTTCAAAATAAAAAAAAAAGTATATAATCGCAAATAGACGATATAAAAAAAATAATTTCTTTGGTAATAAATTTATATATTTATAATATTTATAAGCGATTACCAAATGAGTGACAATTCAGTAATCGAAATTAACGATATTGATAAAATCGATAAAATCGATGTTGATAAAATTGATGTTGATAAAATAGATTTTGATAAGATCGATGTTGATGAAAATGATGTTGATAAAATATTTACCTTCGATGATATCGATGATGAACGACATAATAGTAAATCTATTATTATGATAGAAATATCACCAAGTGAAAACTACCTTATTACTTATAGTAAAGAAGATCGTTCAATTATCGGTTGGAATGTTAAAAATATAGATAAGGTTCAACTTAAATTTCATCAAACTGTTAAAATTGATGAAAAAGATAAATGTGAAATCAAAAGTTTATGTGTTTCTGATGATAAGAAACTTGCTTATATTATTAGATATTATAATAATGGTTATAATGCTATTACTTGTAAGTAATAATTATTTGGTTATGTAATTATTAAATTATGGTAATTGATATTTATTTTAATATTTTTTTTAGTAATCGATATGAATAACAAAGATAAAAAAATTACATTAAATTTAGATACAGAAGATGCTTATTATTGTGCCTTTAATTTAAAAAGTGAATTTATTTTATATAGTGTAAAGGATGATATTTCTGAAGATGATCATAAAATTATTTGGATTTATTCCACACAAACTAAAAATAACAAATGGGAATGTAAGAGATTTTATATGATACCTGAAGATTATGAATTAATTAGTATATCAAAATATGATAAAGTTTACCTGTATTCAGATGAAAATGATTACATTTATGAATGGAATATTAATACTGAGAAAAGTGTAAAAATATTTGTTAATAATAAGAATAGAACTTATAAGGTAATAAATATTATGAAATTACTTTCAAACCAATCAGTGTTAAGTTATAATTAAATATATTAAATACTAATTATTTTTTAGTTTAAAACAAAAAACATCGGAATATTCAGTAATGAAGAGTTGATTTTTCTAAAAATCCAGTATAAAATTATCATTGTTTATTCAATCGAATTGGGAATTCCTATTGCTTCTTTGGATATAAATGATGGTAACCATTTTTAATAAATTTTATTTTATACGTTAATTATTACTCATATTAAATCATCATTTTTTTATTTAGATATTCAACTATATAATTTTATGAATCATACTGATTTATTTCTTTTACCTTCTGTATTCTATTATACACCAGATAAAGAAATCAAATATTGCTGGAATAGTAAATACAAAAATGTGTTTAATCAAACTTTATTTGATAAATCAACTTATAAACTAACTTATGTTACTTTTGGCACTGACCCAATTTATGTACTAACTGATGAGCAAACAAAGTTTGTGCTTGGAATTCTAAATGGACGTGTTTGGAAATCTAAATTTGAAGAAAAGATGTCAACAAACTTTTCACCTGAAAATTCTAACGAATTAAATAAAGAAAATAATAAAATTATTAAATTTGGTGATCATGATAAAATCAACAAGAAAACTTATAAACACTTAAATGTTTATTCATTTAATCTATATATGGGTACTGTGTTTACATTATTTCAAAAAGCCATAAGAAATAATGGTGATAGTGAAGTGAAAAAATCAGCTGAGTTAACTGGAAATTTAATTAAATGGGATGTACATGTTGATAATGAAAAAATTAAACTAGAAGTTTTCAGAAGGATTAATACTGAATGGGAATCAATTAGCACAAGAATTGAAAATCATCCTTATAAATTTAAAGATTACTATTGTATATTAATTGCAAGCTCATTATTTAATAACGATGATATTGTTATATTGACAAATTTTGGTATTCTTATTTATACTTTTAATGAAAATAACAAATCTAGTGATAATAACAAATCTAGCGAAAAAGACAAATCTATTTTTTTAAACTATTTTTATTATATGAATTTAGAGAACTATAGATATAAAAATAGCATTAACAATCATGACATTATAAGATATAAAGATTGTATGAAATCACTCCAAATTTTTTTAAAATCTACTTTACCATTACCAAATTATAATAGTTTTAGATTAAATGGATGGAATTCAGATGTAATAAATAATAAGACAAGTCTTTTGAAATATGGAGTTGGATTATTAACATTTGCAATTAAAGAACATAATTTAGAATTAATTGATGATAATTATAAAAAATGTATGACTTATTTTAAAGAGGACTTAATTAACAATAAGTCATTTTTAAGCATTATCACTTCCACAATGCCATTACTAGATAAATATTATCCGGAATATATTCTAAAATATTCATCAGAAACGAATATGATCATAGATTCTCCTTTTTATAGCATAAAGCATCGAAATAAAAATTTACATCTTTATTCTTTTTCTCAATATCCTCAATTAGCTAATTTATCGAAATCTCTTTTATGGACAAAATTCCATCGTAAATTGAAATTATTATCAGTTACTACTTCTATTATATGGTTAATTATATGTGTTACTCAAGCTTTAATAATACTTTTAACTTTACCCCTTTATTTTGTTACATTTTATATTTTATCAAAATACAATTTTATCAATAATATTTACGCTTCAGATGCATTTTCTTATGTTTATTTCCTTGCTGTACGTATTATTTTTAAAGTTTTTGAATTTTTTGAAGATAATATGACAACTACAACACCAACAATTACTTTTATTGTTCCCTATATTAATTTTGTTAATTATTCAAGAGATTACAATTGGTTTTTAGAATTAATTAGACCTCAACCTAGTTTATTTACTGAAACAATAAATAGGAATATCTATAAAACATGGAGTGGAGAAGCATTAATTAATTTTAAATGGAATGCTTATGGAAAATATTATTTTGCAATGATTTGGATTTTATTCATGTCTTTACTTGGATGCTTTACTGCTGCTGCAACAGTACCCCAACAATATATCAATGAAGAAGTTAAACAACAACTTTTTATTGCTTCGATCATACTTGGATTTATTCATCTGATTTTAGAAATTCGTCAATTTTTTTATAATATTATTAAGTGGTTCTATAATTTTTGGAATATTTTTGGTAAATATAAATGTTTAATTTAATTATTTTACAATAGTTTAAGAAAATAAAATTAATTATATAATATTTTAATATTTCAGATATAATTGCTTATGTGCTTTCAATTTACACTTCTATTTATTGGCTTCAAACAAATAATAAGAATGATAATTATCTAATTCAGTTGCTTTCTTTTTCATGCTTATTTTTAGATATAAAATTTTTATTATTTTTTAGAGCATTTGAATATTTTGGTGTATATTTTGCAATTATTATTAGTGTTGGAAAAAAGATTTTTTCTTTTTTATTAGTCTTATTCATTATTATAATAAGTTTTGCACATGCATTTTATATTTTATTATCACCAAGATCTGAATTTTCACTTGATCAACATAATAATGATCCAAATAATCCTTGGAATTTAGCTCCTAGTTATAGTCAAATTGATAATGATGGAAATATCAATTCCAATCCATTTATGTTTCAAATTCCTGATAAAAATACAAACATGTTTATAGATTTTAGAACTTCTCTTTTTGCTATGTATTTATTTTTAGCAGGTATATCTAATTTTTCATAATTTATTACATAAATATTTTTTCTAATATTTTTAAGCAATTCTTCTTTCATATCAATAGGTGACTCAAGCGCATTATCCAATTGGCCATATGCTGACAATCCATCAATTGCAATATTGATTGTTTTATTTTCTCTTTTAATTGTTATATATCTTATGAACTTGTTAATTGGACTACTCAGCAATGCAATTGAAGAAAATAATAATAGAGTCTCATATTTGATGCAAAAGGCAGAGGTAAATAATAATATTATTAATCATTCTATTTCTGTAAATATACTAATATATCTCAACTTTTAGATTTTGGCTGAGATTGAGTTATTTTACCTATTACCATATCAGAGACGTTGGCAAACATGGTTTCCTGAAGTAATGTATGTAATCTTACTTTAAAAAAAAATTTAATGTCATGATTTTATTAATTATTCAAAATTTATTTTTTTCAAGACATTACTATGCCGATGTTGATAAGACTCGAATAGAAATTAAAAGATTGATTAAAGAAGGTGAATGGGATACTAAGGAATTCACAGAGATGCGGGAAAAATTATTAGAAGAACTTCAAATTAAACATAATCCTATTGACAATGAGCTAATGTTGGAGAAATTAAAATCTAACGATGATAAATTAGATAATTTAAAAGAAGAAATTAGAGAAATTAGAAAAACTTTGCAAAACTTTAAAATTGGAACCATATCATGACCAAGTTGAAATTTTATCATAGACCTTATAATCAAGACTTGGTCACGATATGGTTTCACATCGCCACGATAAGTTCAAGACAATCGCATGTATAAAGTTACTGTATATTAAGAAAATCTAATCGGGTCGTACAAAAATAGTATTGAAATCGTAAAATGCAAATTAAAGTTATAGTTAACGCATATTTAAGTTATAATGAATATATGTTTGAGTTATAGTAAACATATATTAAAAAGTAAATTTATTTTAAATTAGTTGTTAAACTTTATTTAGGAGATATTAAAGAGATCTTCAAATCTATTATTATTCTGTCAATAAATGTAAAATGTTTTATTAATATACATTGTTCTATAAATGTAAAATACATTATTAGTAATAAATGTTTTCTTTCTAAAAACGGAGATCTCCGAATTGACTAAATTCCGATATATCCAAGTTGGAGCCGCTTCCTTAAAAAAAAAGGAAAAAAAATGTATAAATTAATAAATAAGACTTAATAATGTTTTTAAAAAAGAAAGTTACCAATTATTTCGAGAGCTTACTTTCAGGATTCTGGTAATGAAGTTAGCCAGCATCCTACAAAGAAAAAGAAAGTTTTTGAAACACTTGAAACTAATTACCAGGATTCCAAAGCTAAATCTTTGATTATCCATGATGTAAATTCGCGCTGATCGCCTTTAACACGTTAATTTTTCATTAAAAAATTATAATAAAATTCGTTATATGTAAAAAATAGTCCAAAAATCCAAATATCATTCAAATTACATATCAAATATTTCCAATATTTCAATGTGATTGAGAATGTATGTATAATACTGTACTAAATTTAAAATTTAGGTTTGTAATTTCGCAATTTTTTTTTAGTAATTTTAATTATTATTTTTATATTCCTTTTTATAATATAAATTTACATATAATTATTATCTCTTCAATTATTGTATAATAGTTTATTTTTGCGCTAAATTATTATTCATAAATTCGTGCCGAATAACTATTAATTATGCAGACGGCCAAGATCATGTTCCATATGAAAAGCATAATAAATGTGTGATAATAATCTATATGACGTAATGCGTCAAAAATATTGAAGATATTCACGCAATAATAGTTTATCTAAAAAATATCAGTATGTTAAAAACAACATGATCCTATTTGGCTGCATAATAATATAATATTATTTTATTACATACTATGATATTTGTCATGTTTTGTCATGACACATATTATGTTATTATCTTAGTTTCAAACCACATTATTCAATCGTACTACATAACAATAATCATAATCTAATGAGTAATGATAAAACCGTATTATTCACTCACGTACTGAGAGTATAAAATAAAAGCTCCTGCTAAACCTTTTTTCTCCAAACTAAAATTTTTACGGAACTAAAATTTTTACGGATTTTAACGGATTTTAACAGCATCGGATTTAACAACATTAGGCAATATATAGAAATATTTTATCATTGAAAAAAAATGGCTCGAAAAAAAGCCCGCTCTTTTTTTAAGCAATGTAAAGATTATGTAAGAGGAATTACAAGAGCAAGAAAAAAAAAATTACTAGAGAAATTGTTAGAAAAGGAACAGAAAGAAAAACAAAGAAAAGTACAAACGAAAGTTTATTTTGAAGGTAGGTTATACTGGTATCCTCCAGTCCCTATTCAGCTTTTGCAATCCTGTTTACGTGACTACATAACTATACAACATTCTGGATAACACATGATTTCAACATCAGGCATATTACTGACTTGAGAAGTTTTTGTAGATAAACAATTCAAAACTGAAAAACATAACTCTGAAGAAAACAAGCCTGAAGGTAGGTTGTACTGGGTGGTATCCTCCAGTCCCTATTCAGCTTTTGCAACCCTGTTTACATGACTATATAACATTCTGGACAACACACACTTTCAACACCAGGCATTTTCACTGACTTTTGAGAAGTTTTTGTAGATAAGCCACTTAAAGAACTCAAAACTGATAAACATAACTCTGAAGAAAACAAGCATGAAGGTAGGTTGTACTGGGTGGCATCCTCCAGTCCCTATTCAGCTTTTGCAACCTTGTTTACATGACTATATAACATTTTGGACAACACATGCTTTCAACACCAGGCATTTTCACTGAAGTTTTTGTTGATAAGCCAATTAAAGAACTCAAAACTGAAAAACATAACTCTGAAGAAAACAAGCCCGAAGGTAGGTTGTACTGGGTGGTATCCTCCAGTCCCTATTCAGCCTTTGCAACCCTGTTTACATGACTATATAACATTCTGGACAACACACACTTTCAACACCAGGCATTTTCACTGACTTTTGATAAGTTTTTGTAGATAAACAACTCAAAACTGAAAAACATAATTCTGAAGAAAATAAGCCCGAAGGTAGGTTGTACTGAGTGGTATCCTCCACAGCTTTTGCAACCCGTTCATAACTATACAATATTCTGGACAACACACGCTTTCAATACTGGATATTTTCACTGACTTTTGAGAAGTTTTTGTAGATAAACCACTTAAAGAATCTGAAAGGCAAGATGAAACTGAAAAACGTAACTCTAAAAAAGAATTTGTAGAAAACGAGCTTAAAAATCAAGAAAACAATCCTGAAGGACAAGTAAGAAAAAGCGTGTATAATCATTCATTTTATCATTTTATAATATTCTTTTATTGTTTTTATTTTGTAAAATAGATTCAACTTTGGTGTGGACATTGTAATTATTCATATTGTAAATGCCGGCCATCTTATCGAAGCTCGGATGGATATTGCCCAGAATGTGGTTATTATAAATGTCGTAAAAAGAGGTTTAGTAATAAAAAATCCGGGCCTCATATATTTGATTATAAAGGCAGATTAGTTAATATTAGGAAAAAAAGAATACCACATTAACAAATATTTCATTTTATCGTGACGAATTCCAAAGTTTATTTATTATAGCGACTAACTTTATATATATATTTAACTCTATATTTATTTAATACATCATTCAAAACTTCTGTTATCATGACTTATATAAAAAAGAATCCGTATTTTGACGTATTTTGACATTAATATTAAATATTAAAAAAAAATTAACGTGAATCAAGAACGTGATAATAATAACACGAAATTTTTTAAATGTTGCGAAATATAATGATATAAAAGATTCTATATAAGCAAAACAAGTTGAATAATTTCAATAATTTCATGGGCTTAGTTCCTTTACAGGATTTTACTCCGAATTATCAATGTATTTGATAAATGAACAACGAAAACTATTCCGATAGACGGATAGATCACCGTATGATGAACGTTACACAAGTACTTGGCGTTAAAGAAATCAAAATGGAATGATATTTAATTAAAATTTTTTTTGGGTTTATCATTTGGTACGACACATAATTTTAACATGACGAAATTGTAGTTTTATTTGCCGCATAAATATTGATTGGACGTCTTTCAAAAATTATAATCACAAACGTGTTGAGAAAATTTACAAATCCTTATTACAATTTGGAATTCGAAATTTTAACTTCATTAAAGATGATTATTTGCAAAAATTAGTAAAATTTTCTCAATTTTATCAACTTTGTACGAATTGTAAATAGTTATTTTTATCAACGGTTCCGTTATTCTATTATGATACTACAATTTTTTTTTTTATTATTTTTTTTTCTTGTACAATATTTTGCTGATGGAGATGCAAAGATCCCTGCCGCTTCCTTAATCAATACGGCGATGCCAACTAATTTTTTGGCGTAGTAATTATAGTAATTTTATTAATATATACATACATTAATATGATGTTTGTGATCCCTTGTATCATATTTTAATTAGAAATAGGCTTCATAATCCTAACTACTGTAATTGAAAATTTGCATTGAAATCTTAATACAAAAAATTCAGTTGTTATATACAATACAAAGAACGGGACCTATATTACATTTATAGTCTAAACTTTATATTTTTATTTAATTGAAAAATTATTACAATTAAAAGATCTATCTAATGATATTTTCATTTTCCTTAAACCGCCATACCAAATTTAATCTTATAGATAAAGTTGCAATCCAATTATTGAAAAAAAAATCAAATTCTAAAATCATAATAAAAAAAAAAATTATGATGCGAAAATGTATCTTGAAAAATAATATAGTATAAGTTATCGTATAACTTACAATTTACCATCTTTGTTAGATTCAATTGAGAAATTATCAATTTGTAAAGATTTATATAACAAAATAAATTTATTAGTATTTATAAATCTCTATATACTTACTATATATTACCATTTTGTTCATAATAATCATCATCAGAATTTCTTGGTTCAGGGAGATTAATAATGTTCAATTGAGAAACGTTAATTTGTTGAGATAATAATACTACTTAATAAGTAATAATTTGTTAGTATTATTTTATAATTATTTTAAATAATTTTTCATTAAACAGTACCTGAAGATTCAATGCTAATTATATTATCATTCTGTTCATAAAAATCATCGGAATTTTTTGGTTCAGGAAGATTATCAAAATTAAGCAATCTACTTGTATAAATAGCTTCTGAATGTGTTTTATATGATAATCCTAAACACGTTGAAGATATACTGTAATTTGAATTGTTGTTTGTTACATCTGCTTCTTTAATTTGTTTTTGTATTTCTGTTGTTTGTTTGCTAGCTAATTCACATCGCCATATGTATAAAATATCTCTAATTTCTTCCGCTTTTGGTCTCATTAATAAATTTGCATCTAAGCAACTTTTAATTAAATCCACAATTAATTGAGGTACTTTAATATCAAATCTTGGTCTAAGTCCTTGACAAATTTTTATTGCCAAATATTCATCATGACTTAAATCATAAAAAGGAGGTAAACCAGAAATTACTTCATACATAATTATACCAAAACTATAAATATCAGCAGCTTGAGTATAAGTTTGTCCCCGTAAAATTTCAGGAGCTATATAAGGCAAAACACCATATATATTATTTTTTTGTACATTACAATTTGCAGGTTTGCACAATCCTATATCAGTTATAGCAGCATTATATTTAAGCTTTAATATATTACCACTATGCAAGTTTCGATGAATCAAATTGCTTTCATGAATAAATCTAAGCCCATTTATAATATCATATAAATAAATAAATTTATTTCTCCAAAGTAATTTATTAAAATTTGTGTCCAAATATTTTCGTAAACTTCCATCATCTGCATATTCTAAAACCATTACATAATTTTCAGTTTCCGGATTTTGAGTTATTCCATAGAATTTAATAATTTTATAATTAGAATCTAATTTATGATGAAGTATCATCTACATAATATAAAGGCAAAAAAAAAAATAATATTAAAAACTACAATAATTAAAAAGTTTTTGTTAAGTAATAAATTATTCATACCTCGTTCATAAATTCTAATGTGATATTTTTTGAATGATTTAAACTTTTCAGAGCTACTACCATATTTTCATCATGTCTTTTCCAATTTTGATTTATATTATCCCACTTGTCAATACATCCATCAATCCAATTTGCTTTACATATTTCACCGAATCCACCCTTTGAAACATATTCAATATTATTAAATCTATCATAATTTATCCATTCTAATGCTTCATTTACATCATTATGATGATCTGATAGCTGACTATCTTGAATAAATTGATCAATAACATCATTACCACTAGTCCAACTTTCAAAATTTTGCTTAAAGTGTATTGCATTACATTTTGAATTACACTTTTTGCATTTATCACTCAATACAATCATATAATTTTTTGTTTGTGGATCTTGAGTTATTCCATAAAATTCATAATCTATTTTAATCTACAAAATATAATATTACTGTATTAATAGAAATTAAAAATTTTCAAAACTTAAAATTAAATAATAAATTATTATACCTCATTCATGAATTCTTCCGTAACATTTATTGGGTTATTTAAATATTTTAAAGTTACCAACATATTTTGATTTTCTCTTTCCCAATTTTGGTAAAGTACACTCCATTTGCATATACATCCATCAATTAAATTTGCATTATACAATCCATTTCTTTCAATATATTTGATATTATTAAGTCTATTATAAGGTATCCATTCTAATACATCAGATACTGGTAATTTCTTATGAGCTAATAGTTGAGTATTTTGAATAAATTCATCAATATCATCATTACCACTTGTCCAATTCCCAAAATTTTGTTTAAAGTATATTGAATTACATTTGCAAATACATTGTTTGCATTTATCACGCAACACCATCATATAATCTTTTGTTTGTGGATTTTGAGTTATTCCGCAAGGTATATTAATCTACACATATATTATATTTGTAAAAATTAAAATTTTTTCAAAAATTAATTAAAATAAAAAAATATATCATTACCTCATTTTTAAATTCTAATGCAATAATTTTTGGTTCATTTAAAAGTTTCAAAGTAACAAACATATTTTGATCAAATCTTCTCCAATCTTTAGTCACATAATCCCAATAATGAATATATCCATCAATCCAATTTGCTTTATACACTCCAATGTTTTCAATATATCTGATGTTATGAAATCTATCATATGGTATCCATTCTAATAAATTTGATCTATAATTCTTATGAGATAATACTTGAGAATCTTGAATAAATTTATCAATATATTCATTACCACTAGTCCAATTTTTGAAATTTTGTTGAAAATATATTGAGTTACATTTAAATTTACATTTAACGCATTTCTTATTTGGGGTTAGTTTTTTAAGTAACGTATCCATTATGATTTATTATTGATTAATAAACAAAGATTTTTAAAATATTAAAACTGAAATAAAGTTTTTAAATTATATAAATGAATGTGGTGGGTGTGTTTTATTTTGTTTTGTTTGTTTGTTTATTTGAAACAGGAAAGCGCATAGAAAAGTGTACAAATTGTGTATATAAAAGAATTCTAAATGTAAATAAATAAATATATATATTACAGGAGAGGAAATAAACAAATTATGTGATGATCATTTGTTAAATATCATGTGGCTTAAATAAAAATTATAATACTAGTCCGAATCTTATTGGTTGCTTTTGTTTCTAAACTTAAAAGCTTTTTTAAATTGTAAAGTTTTTGAGAATTCCTTTGTGATACTGTTACACAGAAAATATCGACGCTTACGGCTTATCTATTTGTTACATTTGTTACTCCAATATAACCCACGATGTTTAACAAAAAAAAAAAAAATTTATTATGTTTACTAAGGGCAAAAATTTAAATAAGACCGCAGTAAAAAATTATTTATATAAAAATATTAGCTTAAATTTAATAAAGATAATTTTTTTTTAAAGAACAAAGGAAAATACTTACAACTATTTATGATAGTTTTCAATCTCATTATAATGATATACTATCACATAAAAACTTTTTCATCACTATGACGACCAAGTTCAAAACTTATTAGTTTTTTGGTGATTGCGTTAACCCTATAAACTTCCGTCAAGAAGCTGTATAATAGAAGTTATACTGACCCTTCATTTTTTTAGAAATTGCTTCAAGAGCAGCATATACGAATTATATTACAACATCCTATCATCGACTGACGAAGAGGAAGAAGAGGCGGCGCAGTTTAGAAGCTATACTTAATTCGGAAAGTATAATGCAACGATCGAAATGCTTTTCATCACATGAGACAAAGAAAGGCAGATCGCTCACGTGATAAAAATATTTCGTTGAAAACCAATCGTCCGTCGAGATCATTACGGTCAGGTGATCCGAATTAGACATTGCGTAACGTCAATTTGGTCAAAAAAAATTTTAGGCGATTTAACACGTCTATCAAAAATCAACGCAAATATCAAGCAGTATGCATCAATATAGAACTCTCTTCGTTCACTTTCTCAACGGTGCCTAATTGCCTATGGTCTTACACACT